CCACCCCTGCCAGTGCAGATTCTCCAATTTTGTGTGCAAAACTTTCTGTTTTCATGCCTTCCCAAAGCCATTTCAAATAGAAGATATTCAGATACATTATTCCTCAATTTCGTGTGCAAAACTTGGTGTTTTCATGCCTTCCCAAAGCTTTTCAAATAGAAGATATTCACATACATTATTCCTGCCCACCCCTGCCAGTGCAGATTCTCCAATTTCGTGTGCAAAACTTGGTGTTTTCATGCCTTCCCAAAGCCATTTCAAATAGAAGATATTCACATACATTATTCCTGCCCAACCCTGCTAGTGCAGATTCTCCAATTTCGTGTGCAAAACTTTGTGTTTTCATGCCTTCCTAAAGCCGTTTCAAATAGAAGATATTCACATATATTATTCCTGCCCGCCCCTGCCAGTGCAGATTCTCCAATTTTGTGTGCAAAACTTGGTGTTTTCATGCCTTCCCAAAGCCATTTCAAATAGAAGATATTCACATATATTATTCCTGCCCACCCCTGCCAGTGCAGATTCTCCAATTTCATGTGCAAAACTTTGTGTTTTCATGCCTTCCTAAAGCCATTTCAAATAGAAAATATTCACATATATTATTCCTGCCCACCACTGCCAGTGCAGATTCTCCAATTTTGTGTGCAAAACTTGGTGTTTTCATGCCTTCCCAAAGCCATTTCAAATAGAAGATATTCACATATATTATTCCTGCCCACCCCTGCCAGTGCAGATTCTCCAGTTTCGTGTGCAAAACTTTGTGTTTTCATGCCTTCCCAAAGCCATTTCAAATAGAAGATATTCACATATATTATTCCTGCCCACCCCTGCCAGTGCAGATTCTCCGATTTCGTGTGCAAAACTTGGTGTTTTCATGCCTTCCCAAAGCCATTTCAAATAGAAGATATTCACATATATTATTCCTGCCCACCCCTGCCAGTGCAGATTCTCCGATTTCGTTAGCAAAACTTGGTGTTTTCATGCCCTCCCGAAGCCATTTCAAATAGAAGATATTCACATATATATTATTCCTGCCCACCCCTGCCAGTGCAGATTCTCCGATTTCGTTAGCAAAACTTGGTGTTTTCATGCCCTCCCAAAGCCATTTCAAATAGAAGATATTCACATATATATTATTCCTGCCTATCCCTAAAACCCCAGATTCGCCAATTTTATGTGCAAAATTTGGTGTTTTCATGCCTTCCCAAAAGCATTTCAAATAGAAAAATTTCAACTATGTTATTCCTGCCCACCCCTGAAAACTTAGATTCTACCATTTTATTTGCAAAACGCGGTGTTTTGATGCTTTCAAAATGCATTTCAAATAGAAGACATTTTTCCTCTCAACCCCTGCAAGGCCAGATTCTTTCATTTTATGTCCAAAATGCGGTGTTTTGAAGCCTTCCCAAAGGCATTTTAAATAGATGATTTTCAAATATAATATATTATTCCTGGCAACCCCTGAAAGCTGAGATTCTACCATTTTATGTGCAAAACTCGGTGTTTTGAGGCCTTCCCAAACGTATGTCAAATAGAAGATATTCACATATATTATTCCTGCCCGCCCCTGCCAGTGCAGATTCGCCAATTTTATGTGCAAAAATCGGTGTTTTGCTGCCTTGCCAAAGGCATTTCAAATACAAGATATTCAAATAATATTATTCCTGCCCATCTCTGAAAGCCCAGATTCTCCAATGTTGTGTGCAAAACTTGGTGTTTTGATGCCTTCCCAAAAACATTACAAATAACATATATTCAAATATATTATTCCTGCGTTCAAAACCGGCGGTTTTCAGGTTTTTTCAATGGTGTTTTGAATAGAAGGTATTCAAATATATGATTATTGCATCACCCCTGGCAGCCCAGATATTCACCAATTTTACGTGCAAAACTGGCTGTATTGAGGCTTTCCCACAGGCATTTCGAATAGAAGATATTCAAATTATTGTCTTTCTCCAGGGATCGCGAGGTTAGAGCATGATCTGAAAATGATTTTTGACAATTGGATGTATGTTTTTCCTAGTGTTGTTCGGTGTTTCGGGATCTCTATCATTTTTCATTTGAAGACTGCGTTTTTGTGCCCCCTTTTATGCCCAGCCTATGAAGGCCCAAAACCAAGCCAAAAATCAATTATCTTCTATTTGAAAACTGTTTTTCATGCATTTGGGATCTGTCGAACTCATGGGGTTACAAATGAATATCTTCTATTTGAAAACACTTTGGTGGAACTTTCTGGGTTCCCTCATGAAATACCAGTAGTACCGCGCAAGGCGGTGGCGGAAGTTTCAAAAATAGGCAACCTATAGGAGAGGTTGGTTGCTGTGAATCAGGGATGGCAGAGCGAATCCACTGATGGACCGAAAGGTGCTTGAGGTCTCCTCTCTTTCGCTCTCTTTCTCTGACTATCTACCTACCTACCTATCTATCTATCTATCGATCTATTTCTCTCTCTCTCTCTTTCTTTCATCTGTCTATCTGTCTAGCTGTCTAGCTGTCTACCTGTCTATCTATCTATCTATCTGTCTGTCTGTCTGTCTATCCATCTATCTATCTATCTATCTACCTATCTCTCTCTCTCTCTCTGTCTCCCTCTCTCTCTCTCTCGCTTTCATCTGTCTATCTGTCTGGCTGTCTACCTGTCTATCTGTCTGTCTATCTATCTATCTATCTGTCTATCTGTCTACCTGTCTATCTGTGGTGCAGTGTCATTCAGTGTAATGTAGTGTAGTGTAATGTAGTGTAGTGAAGTGTAGTGGAATCTAGTGTAGTGTAGTGTAATGTAGTGTAGTGTAGTGAAATTTAGTGTAGTGTAGTTGTAGTGTTGTGGAGTGTAGTGTAGTGTAATGTAGTGTAGTGGAGTGTAGTGTAGTGTAATGAAGTGTAGTGTAGTGTAATTTAGTGTAGCGGAGTGTAGTGGAGTGTAGCTGTGTAGTTGTAGTTGTAGTGTTGTGGAGTGTAGTGTAGTGTAATGTAGTGTAGTGTAGTGTACTGGAGTGTAGTGTAGTGTAATGTAGTGTAGTGTAATGTAGTGAAGTGTAGTGGAAGGTAGCGCAGTGTAGTGTAGTGTAATGTAGTGAAGTGGAGTGTAGTTGTGTAGTTGTAGTGTAGTTGTAGTGTTGTGGAGTGTAGTGTAGTGTAATGTAGTGTAGTGGAGTGTAGTGTAGTGTAATGTAGTGTAGTGTAATGAAATTTAGTGTAGTGGAGTGTAGTGGAGAGTAGTGGAGTGTAATTGTGTAGTTGTAGTTGTATTTGTAGTGTAGTGGAGTGTAGTGTAGTGTAATGTAGTGAAGTGTAGTGGAAGGTAGCGTAGTGTAGTGTAGTGTAATGTAGTGTAGTGTAATGTAGTGTAGTGTAGTGGAGTGTAGTGGAGTGTACTGGAGTGTAGTTGTGTAGTTGTAGTTGTAGTTGTAGTGGAGTGTAGTGCAGTGTAAGGCAGTGAAGTGTAGTGGAAGGTAGTGTGCAGTGTAGTGTACTGTAGTGTAATGTAGTGTAGTGTAGTGTAATGTAGTGTAGTGTGGTGTAATTTAGTGTAGTGGAGTGTAGTGTAGTGTAATGTAGTGTAGTCTAGTGAAATTTAGTGTAGTGGAGTGTAGTGGAGTGTAGTTGTGTAGTTGTAGTGTTGTGGAGTGTAGTGTTGTGTAATGTAGTGTAGTGTAATGTAGTGTAGTGTAATGTAGTGTAGTGTAGTGCAATTTAGTGTAGTGGAGTGTAGTGGCGTGTAGTGGAGTGTAGTTGTGTGGTTGTAGTTGTATTTGTAGTGTAGTGGAGTGTTGTGTAGTGTAATGTAGTGAAGTGTAGTGGAAGGTAGCGTAGTGTAGTGTAGTGTAATGTAGTGTAGTGTAATGTAGTATAGTGTAGTGGAGTGTAGTGGAGTGTAGTGGAGTGTAGTGGAGTTGTGTAGTTGTGTAGTTGTGTAGTTGTGTAGTTGTAGTTGTAGTGTAGCGGAGTGTAGTGCAGTGTAATGTAGTGAAGTGTAGCGGAAGGTAGTGTAGTGTATTGTAGTGTAATGTCATCTGAACCTCCAAAAGTGGTCTGAACCCTAAGTGATTTTAACATTTTGATTTGGAAATGTGCTTCGCGCCACAACGGCGTGCACTTTTTCCACATCGGAACCTCCAAAAGTGGTCCGAACCCCTAGTGTTTTTAACATTTTGACTTGGAAATGTGCTTCGCGCCACAACGG